GTCATTGCAGCGATGCGAGGATCGTTTTTATATGGTTTGGTTTCTGGGATTCGAAAGGGATTGATATCGGATTTCATTAACATGGTTGTCAAAACAAGATACTTGAGAACCTGGATTCGCTGTAAAGATCCAGCTTCATCGTAATCTTTGAATGATTGAAAGAAATCACTCTGTGCATCCTTCCAGTTTTCCTCAGTCATATGCATCTTCCCACCACATTCTCGAATGATACCCATAATCCTAGGATGTGGGACTGCTGATTTGACCTTCAAAGCTCTTTCATATGAACGCTTCAATTGCTTGTTATTCTTCGTTTCGGAATGCATCTGAATCTCGAGTGCGTAGATCTCCAAGGAGTAGGTGCCCTTGCTTGGATCATCTGTACCATCTTCCAACTCACATGCCTTGCGAAGTTCTCGTAATTTCTTTGTTGTCGCAGCGTAATCCTTGCGGTCGAGGCAGAGTTTCGCCAGCTTGATACTAGTTTTCAACCACAATCGTTCATTGTTGGTACTTTGAAAAGATTGTAGGGTGTTTGAGTAAAATTCCTCCATGCATTTCCTCGCCGCATCATCTTCAGTCTTTTTCTCGATGAAGTCGAGTATATTGTTGATAGATTTTTCCGAGTAGTTTCGCGTTACGGCGGATTTGACGTAGGTAAGAAGTTCAAGATAATGTTCAACAGCCTGATGAATTGTTAGATAAGATCATTCGGAACAGACAAGAACCCTACCTTATCATATAGAGCAAGATTAAATTCCATCTTTATAGCTTGTTTCAACCCTTTAAATCCCCAATCGCCTTTCTCTTGCTCGAGAGCTGGAATTCCTAAAAACTCCTCGATCGCACCTTCAGGATCTGTAGATTTCATCTGTTTGGCATTATAGTATTTGTTCTCAATATCGACATCGGCATCCTCCTCGTCGTCATTGTCTTCATATTCGAAGTCATATCTGTGAACGTTAGCTAGGTACCCATCGAATGTCTGGTAAGGCTTGACATACTGCTCCTGGTCTGAATCTTGCATGAAATCATCATCGTCAGACATTTTTGCGATTCTTTTGGTTTAATTGTAAGGCGAGGGTTTTGGATACGAGGATCTGTATTGATAAATTATGGTCGCATTTATTCAAAAGAATTTGGAGGTTCCGTAATGACGAGTTTAAAGATATCACGGAACGTCAAAGGTTGAGGTACGGTACAGTGATAAGGCTGTGTGTCGTTTGCCTAGAGCTATCCCCGCAGTCTTGTATGATTGGCTACAAATCGCTTAGCGTCCATCCTGCCTTTCTGATTTTGAAATGCTTCTTTCCGCCTTGCGATGAACATTAAAACATCTGTTTGTATTTTATCGTCAAGAATTATTGCAACTCGTACATAGCGCAGTTCTTGATTACGAATAATTTTATTTTGGCTTCGGATTCATTACTTCATTCTTCGATTTCCATATTTGGTATTTCTTGTGTGAAAAAACGTTCCCACCTGCGACGACGATTTATCTTGAATCTGCTTCTACAATAAAGTCAAACAACTTTCAAAATGGGTGGCGATCTCAATTTGAAGAAGTCATGGCATCCCCATTTGATGAAGAATCAAACGCGGGTATGGGAGGAAGAGAAGAAAGCCCTCGAAGAAAGAAGGCGTACAGAACAGAGGATTAAGGAGCTTAAGGAAGAACGAGCGAAGGAAGAGATTCAAAACAAACTCGAAGCCGCTGGATCGAGAAAGCGAGTTGATCGTGTCGATTGGATGTATCAAGGTCCATCAAGTGGTCAAGCTGGAACCACTGAAGAGATGGAAGGTTATCTTCTTGGAAAGAGGCGCATTGATGGATTGATCAAAGGCACAGAGCACAAAAATCTCGAGAAACAAGCTTCCGAGGCTAGTTTCATGGCTTTACAAAATGCGAATACTCTACGAGACACAGCAGCTAAGGTTCGTGAAGATCCCATGCTTGCTATCAAAAGACAGGAGCAGGCTGCATATGAGGCTATGATGAATGATCCGATCAAACGACGCAAACTGCTTGAATTGGCTGGGCAGGACACCAAGGAACTTAAGCCGAAGAAGGAAAGAAAACATCGTCACCATCATAGGCATCATGATGACGACGATGAAGAGCGAAGACGAAAGCGTAGGAGAGATGAAAATAGGGATGGTCGTGAAGAAGATCGCAGTCGCAAGCGTCGCAGAAGTGGTGATGATTACGATGACGATAGAGATCGCAGAAGTCGCAAACATGAATATCGACGACGTTCAGATTCATATTCAAGATCTCGTTCCCCTGTCGAAAGACGAGATAGTTTTGGCAGATCACGAAAACCAAGATCAGTATCACCGGATAATAGAGAAAGAGGACGGCCAATAAGAGAAAGAGACTACGACCGCCGAAGACCTGTGTCACCAAATGAACGTCAAGATAGTAGACCAGACAGGGATCAAGACAAAAAACAGAGAAGGAGAAATAGTTCATGTCCAGATTCTAGATCCCCCACGCCAGAACGACGAAGGTCCCCGGATAGGAGGAGATCTTACCCAGCAGATAGAGATGATAGAAGGAATGGTTACGACCGAAGGGATAACGGGAACAGATACGATAATCAACGTAATGGAAATGGTTATGGCAGACGCGATGATAGAAGACCTCATGGTGGACATCAGCAGCCGAAAGGACCTTCGGAAGAAGAGAAGGAGGTTGAGCGACAAAAGAAATTGGCCGCTATGCAGCAAGATGCATCAAGTCTGGAAACTGATCGGGAGAAGCGACTAAGGGCATTGGAGGAACAGGAGAAGGCCGCCCATGAAGCTGAGGATAGGGCACGAACAAATACATCAAAGTACTCGGACAAAGGCGATTTCATCAATGGTCTCAATCGAACAGCTGGAAATATGAATCTCGGTGATCGAATCGGGCGTCGTGCAGGACAAGGATTCATCAAGGAAGAGGAGTGATTTTAATTTTTGTTTTTTTGTTTATGTGGAAGACAATGGAGGTGTGTTATTGCTCGAATACCCTTAAGTATGGCAGATTGCATGGGGTTCTCATTGTCATGGGAACTTGATGACTCGTTGTTATTATGCTTTTATTATTGCGCAAGATTGCAGATTAGAAAAGCAATTGTAATATAAGCTTCCAATTTGGAAAGTCGAAATGCTCTCCACCTCGAGCCCACTCGTAATGTTGATTGATCCACTCTGAACAAGGCAAGACTGATTTATGGACCCGCGGCTTTACAGAGTGTACAGCAGCAATTTCCTCCTATTCAAGGATTGACCCCCTCCCCCCATGTGACGATCATCCGCTTGGTTCCATCAATTTTTTTCTCTTCTATTTTTCATTACCTATGCAAAGGTTCATTGCACTTTTTGAGCCACGCAAAATGTCAAGATAAATTCCCGGGGATCAGCCACAGTATTAGTTTGTTATTAATGTGTATATATGGATGTACTATCCATGGATGTTATAGAGAATTTAGAGAAATCCAAGCAAGTGATTAAGAATATAGACTGTAAATGATAGATTACAGATGGCAGACCAGACTGTAATACCGTAGATCCATTGTTGAGATTTGAATGAGAAAGAGATTCATCGTGTATCCATTGATATATATACATACATACCCTCCTTCTCTCATGACTCCAGATTCATCATCTTTTCCCCACGATATGACATCCATTATCTAAGTACGATAGGTACCTCAAACTTTCTCCAGCTCCGGAGTGATACCTATATCGGGCATGCGACGTATTTCTTTTTCTGGCTGCATTAGTTCCTTCCCCCCCTCCACCGATGCCAAAATTATCACTTCGGAGATACGGTTGTTGTTCGCATCGTGCTTCTACTCTACTAGATAGGTATCAGGTAAGGTTACGCAGCTTACCTATGCAGGTCTCTGGAAAGTTTCTGCGCAAAAGAAAGGATATCGTGATGGGGTCAAAAGGAAATATGTATGTCGAAAATGTCCAGCTGGATTGGAAGAAAGTTTTGGGGATAGGTATCTGGGATACTTGATAGAGTGTAGTGTCATCTGATGTGATTTTGTGATTTTGTGATTTTGTGATTTTGTGATTTTGTGACTTCATGACTTCATTTGGGTACTTTATTAAAGTTTTGGGAGACGTTGTCGTGTTTCTTCTTCAAGGATTTGGGGATGCTGTTATTGCTTGCCTCTCTAGATACCAGTAGATGATAAGGGATATATTCAGTAATACTTTGAACGGCTGGTTCTAATGAAGAAGTTATCTCAAGCAAGCATTGATCCCGCTCACCACATACATACTACTAGTACCGTAGATACTAGGTAGATATCAAATATTATATACCTACGGAATAGACTCGCATAGGAATTCCTTGCCTGGGTAGATACTCGAGTAGGGACTGGGAATTCTCAACTATCATTCATTATCATTCCAAGGTTATTGTTATCATTGATTCTTATTCACCTGCCCTTACATTTTTATATTTCTACTCTCATTTACATTTCCAATTGCAATTGATCTGCTTCGAATTCACCATTTTCTTTTCTTTTCTTTTCTTCAATTTCTTCAATTGATTTATATATATCTCCAGCTACCTAGGTATATACATCATTGATATATTGATGAATTGATTACTATCCAATTATACAATCTCCATCAAGTTTAACAAGTCGGATATTCAATAATCAAAATAACCCATCCATCTACCTACCCACCCACCCACCACTACTCCCACCCTAGTCATTCTTTGGCCTGGCCCCTTTAAGGCTCAACCCTCGGTCTATCCATTCATCCATCCACATCCATCCCATCCATCCCATCCAGTATTCAGTTACTTTTCAATCCTGGAATCATCATTTTCATCCTTCATCCTTCATCCTTCTGCCATCACTCCGTCACAATTCCAACATCTGATTGTCACTTTCTCCCTCCACCTACGAAATATACTACGAGATAGGTATTCCTTCGCATTACATATCGACATCCTTACCTACCAAATCTTACATCATCTCATATTCAATATGCCGTGCGGACTCGGAGGTTCCAAAACTACCCAGAGGAAATTGGTCTTATTGTATGTTATATTTTACGTTTACTTATCTGCATTGAGGATTTTTCTACCCCGAATTTATGTACAAGTGATTCTATCATATGGATCAAATTATGCGACGAAAGTACCGTCGGGGTTGAGTCGCATGGGAGGCGCAGTGGTGGAAATGATATCTTCAATTTGATACTGCGATTACGACTTCAATTGATCTACTGTTGAAGATTGGATTCCAAAAAGAATGTAAAGATTGCTAACAATGTTTTGTTATCATAGAGGGGATGGTGCTTGCGGAAAAACAAGTTTACTAAACGTTTTACGAGAGGGTAGGTTTTGGATTCTTATGACGTTATCTTGGAGTTGTTATGACGGAGAATCTGATGATGGAATTTTAGATATTTCCCAACGGTATACGAACCTACGGTTTTTGAGAACTATGTTCATGGTAAGTTTCTCATGTTCCAATTCTTTTGATGATCAATTCATGACTACGTCATCATTTCCGCGGAATACCGACTCACGTTCCTGCGCAATCTAGATATCTTCGTCGATGGTACACATATCGAACTTTCTCTATGGGATACAGCCGGCCAAGAAGAATTCGATCGATTGCGCTCGCTTTCCTACGATGATACGCACGCAATAATGCTTTGTTTCTCCGTCGACTCGAAAGATTCCCTCGAAAACGTCGAGTCCAAATGGGTAGGCGAAATCGCCGAGAATTGTCAAGGTGTCAAACTCGTTTTAGTCGCATTGAAATGTGATTTGAGGGAACAAGGTGCAGACGATGAAGCGGCAGAGGGAACAGAAGGTGCAGAACCGAGAGAAAAGAAACCAATGATTGACTACAATCAAGGCTTGGAAGTAGCGAGGAGAATCAATGCGCTCAGATATTTGGAATGCTCGGCGATGAGGAATAGAGGAGTTAACGAGGCGTTTACAGAGGCGGCTAGAGTCGCATTGAGTGTCAATCCAAATGGGGGTGATGGGGATGGAAAGTGTGATGTCATGTAAAAGGTGTATAAAGTTTGAGGTGACCTCGCTTTTGGAAAGAGGATGCGACTTATTCTTCAATTCTTGTTCTGGGTTTCGGGAAGGAAGGCTGGCGTTGGAGGTTCGAGCGTGCTTAGGTGGTACATATAATTTTACTGGAAGTAAAAGGACACTCTCAAAGTGCTCTTCTGAAAGATTCCTTCGAGTCCAATTTCGGAATAGGTTTACAGCGGGAAGATGCAATGGGTGCATAACCTACTTTTTCTTTCTTCCCATTACAATCCTTAGGGAGAAAATGGAAGAGAGCTCTTCAATTCATGAACATATAACTTCAATTTCGACTTCTTGATTTTTTTTCGACTTCTTGATTCTTTCTTCTTCTTAGTCTTTTTTCTTCTTCTATTTTTCTTTCGCTTCTTCATTCGAAAATCCTTGGCGCTGGAGTAGAGAAAAGTGTTGTTATGATGAGGGACGAGGGATGAGGGGATGGGGAGATGGGGAAACCTATAGATGCGGATTCGTGTGGAGGATTGGAAGTTTTTTGGGTGTAGAGGGATTTTTGGGGGGGGGAGGGCCTATAAAAGCAAGGGAAGAGGTAGATGATGGATTTTAGGGGTCTGCAATGGGTGGTTGGTGGTTGGTGATTGTATGGATGAATGGATGAATGTTTGTATGGACAATTTAGTGGATGATGGATGATGGATTGATTGGTGGATGAGTAGGGTAGGGTAGGATAGGATAGGGTTGGGTAGGATAGGGTTGGATATCTATTTATTAGTAAAAGGTAAGATTACAATTTTGATAGATAGAGTAGGAGGATTTGGGGAATTAGGATAACTATCTAGGTTGGTAGGTAGGTAGATTTGTAGATTTGTATATAGTAAATGTGGATTTGATTAATGTTTTGGATTTATGTATGTATATTAATATATAGAATTGCCCGAGGGTCTTCTTAAAGAAGTCCGAAGGGAATGAGTTTTTATTTCTTTTTTTCCATCTACTTCATTCAGTTAGATACAGATACAGACGCATCGCATGGTCTTAGCATACCTAGCAATATAGACCAAATCGATTAAGAATTTACTACTACTACTATGTTTTTGGATTTTTGGATTTTTGGATTTAGAGAAATGATAAAGTGAGTTTATGAAAATGTGAGGTTTATTGGTGTGGTTATTTTTATCTTTATTTCTGTTTTTATTTTTATTTTTACTATTATATATGTGATAATGGGAAGGAGCCGGAGAAGAGGGGAGAGGAGAGAGAGAGAGAGAGAGAGAGAGAGAGAGGAGAGGAGAGGAGAGAGAGAGGGAGAGAGAGGAGAGAGAGGAGAGGAGAGAGGAGAGAGAGGCGAGAGAGGAGAGAGGAGAGAGAGGAGAGAGAGGAGCAGAGAGGAGGAGAGAGGAATAGAGATTTCTTAATGATTAATTGGTTGTTTATTCTTGGAATTTGAAGTTTGGGTGGATGGGTAGATGAGGGTAGAATGAAAGTGTGGTAGATGGGTAGGTAGGTAGGTAGGTAGATAAATGGGTATAAAAAGGAGATATAGAAAGGAGATGGATGGATGGATAAGTAGGTAAATAAGTAAATGAGTGGGTATAGAAGGAATGAGTAAGGGAGTGATGAAGTAAATATAGAAAAAAGTGAATAGGTAAGTGAGTAGGTGGGTAGGTAGATAAATTAATATAGAACAGAAAATGAGTAAATAAATAAGTAAGTATAGAAAGGAGATGAACAAATGAATAAATATAAAAGGAAAACAATTAGATGAATAAATGAGTAGGTATAAAAAGGGAGTAGGTGAGTAAGTAAGTGAGTGAGTAGATATGTAGATAAATAATTAGATGAGTAAGTGAGTAAATGAATAAGTAGATGAATAAGTAGATGAATAAGTAGATGAATAAGTAGATGAATAAGTAGATGAATAAGTAGATGAATAAGTAGATGAATAAGTAGATAAATTAATAAGTAAACTAATAATTAAAAGAGTGACTAAGTAAATAGGAATATAGACATACTTAAATATATGATATATATTATATCGTATAGATAGTAGATAATACTATATATCTAGACAAGTGAAATACACAATATGATATAATATACCTAATAGTTCTATATTATGTATAGAATGAATGAATAAAAAATAAATGAATAGATCGATAAAATAATCGGTGTAATATACAGTATATGGTGTATGGAATATGATGAATATTATAAAATCGATGATACTTGTTTATCATTTCAGAATCAAAGAATAAGAAAACCTCAACGCTATATATAGATATGAAATACAATCCCCCAACACCTTTACTTTTCATCAACGCCTAATCTTCATAAGATAAAATTACCCCCAAACGAAAATCGAAAAAAAAAAATCATCCCTCTTTCCCAAAATCCCCTTTCAGACCCATTTCTACATCTCTTTTGAAAATCCACCATCCCTTTTCCGCCTTTCCCTTTGCATTCTTCGCAATTTGCTTCCTCCTTTTTCTCGGATAATTAACCGGACTTTCGCCTCCTACAAAAATAGCCACATCATAAAACAGACCTCCAATTAACGCACCCGTGATCGTCGCACCCCAAGCCCCATAAATCCACCACGCATTCGAGACGGTAAAGACTTCTCTGCCGTATCCTACTGCTGCGGTAGCGAGACGCGGGCCGAAATCTCGGGCCGGGTTAAGACATGCACCAGTGGTGTAGCCGAAAGCCATAGTGAGCACGGTGACGACGAGGCCGACAATGAGCGCGTGCATACCTGCTCCTGGGGGTGCGTTGGAGTCGTCTCCGAGGGCGAGGACGGTGCAGGCGAGGATGGCAGTGGCGACGAATTCGTTAAAGAAACTCGCCGAGGGGCTAGCGAAGGCTTGGGGCTGTGTGTAGAAAGATGTGCCTGTGCCTCCGGCTAGTAGGTTGACTACTTGGCCATTGCCGAGTGAACCACCAGTAGCATTATATGTGGCAATTGCATCTTTGTAGATGCCGTATGCGATGAGTCCGGCGAGAAAACCACCGAGGATTTGCGCGAGGATATAAATAGATGCTTTTCGTATAGGGAAGCCTCTCGATATACATAACATGAGGGATATGGCGGGATTAAGATGCGCACCGGAAATTCCACCTGCGACGTAAATACCTATTGTGATACCTAAACCCCAAGCCCAATTTGTGGATTGATAATTGCCTGAAGTGTCTGCTGAGGTTTGAACAGCAAGATTAGTGGCTATACCAATGAGGACTGCTATCATTGTCTAGGCTTCGTTAGATGTGTGGAATCAATTATTTGTGGGATGACCACTGGCGGATAGAGGACTTACTGCTAAGCACTCGGCTAATGGCTCACGAAATCTTTCACGAATTGCTGCCAAAGCATTGTGGTTGTCTCTTTCCTCTTGAATATACTGCTCCGCTTCTTCACTACTTAAAGACCATTCATCGTCTTCTACCTTATCTCCCCTCTCCAAATCAAGCCCATCATCGTTCTCGTCGTTTGCAAAGTCTGCACTTTGTGTCGTAGAATGATGAGTTAACGTTGATCCTGAGGGATGTTCCTCAACATCAGATAGTCGATTCGTGTTTTGCCGGCCCAGATCTCCTTCCCCATCATCCTGAGGAGATCTCCACTCATCCATAGGGTTATCTCTCTCGGCTAGCGGAGTGCCATTGTGATCCAATATCAAGTTCTCAGAATCCTGCCTATTAGATCTGTAGCTCTGTCTCCGTCCTCGCTCTTGTTGTTGGTGACCATAACCTCGGTCCTCCTCATTCCTACCAAGTCGATTCGATTTCTTTTTTGCCTGCCCTTTCCTCTGATCGTCAATCATTCCAAGTTGCGGTATAGCCTCAGAACTTCCTGGCTGTGCATTTTCTGCATCCTTATTCTCGACCACGCCCTGTTTCCCTCGTCTCATTCCCGGCCTTACCACTCGCGGGAGAGGTTTGGCCAATCCCCATACTGGCTCATCTTTAGGTTTTTGGTAATTTGGGTTGAAATCGTAATACTCTCTGTCGACATAATGAGGTTCGCGTTGAACCCCTCCATTATTACCAGCTAAGGAGTATTGCGGTCGATCTTCGAGAGGTGTATTATTTGTTGGCTGGCGTACTCCATGGGGTCGTAAACTTGGCATATGTGATCTTTTAGAGCCGTGGGCTTGTCCATTTGGACGAACGTTTCTCGCAGATCTCGTGGTTCTCGTAGTTCTTTGTGTATTAACGCTGCCGTCTCTGACCGACGGCGCTGGAGTGTTTTGACCAGTCTCTCGCCCCTCATCGTGATGATCTGCCATGAGAACGTCGATTTTGATTGATGTTGCCTTTCTTCACTCACTTACACAAACGATATCAAAAGGCAACAAGGTCCAGCATAAATCTCTGCGAATGAATGAAATACACTTACAAGAGGTTTCCCACTTACCTTGAATATTGTGGCCTCATATAGCATTATGTGGACGGCGATTCCTAATTGAAAAGTCGTCATAATTTCATCGATGAAGGGGAATTTTGTGGGTAGGATCGATATCTGACAATGGCAAAGTAGAAAAATCAAACGTTGAAGCCATGGTTTGATTCAGTATGTGGATCAATCGGAGCTCTTGGTCCTTGGTGGGAAAGATTTTTTGTGGTCCTGCTTGCTTGTCCACGGATAGTACTGTATATACCGTTATGTACAATAGTTCCTGTCGGCTCCTGTCGATTCCTCTAAAGAATTTGGAATTAACTTCCATTCATATGGGAAAGAGGAGATCGACAAGTTAGAGATTCGTGACAGTAATTGAGTAGGGATGAGGGAGGAAATCATAAGAAGCTTGTTTTTGCTTTTTTGCTTTAATCTGTGTGGTACAATTCCTCATAAATTTGGTTACACGTGACTTCGGTCCGATTCTACCAACTTGACTGAATTTTCTCTTCATGAATCGAGTGAGCTGAGTCCACATATTGGCGGTGATTCGTGAAGCAGGAGTAGAATCTCCTTGGTCTCTTCATCTCTTATTGCAAGATATAGAATACACGCAAACAGATATCTCGACTCTCCATCTCTTCTCATGCCGAAACCATTACTCATCAAATGCCCCATATGTTCTTATTCAAGAGTTTATGACATATAAGGATAACCTATTTCTTCTTTGGATATGATCGACCCTTCAACTAAGACACTTTCGTTCGTTTCTTCTCCTTTGCGCCTCTTTTGAGGATTTGATCTCGCCTTGCGGAGTATAATCTCCACAAGCCTCGTTAAATGACACTGAAAGTGGGCTCCAGGTGCCGTTATGATATACCCATTAAAGTATCCCAATCGGACTTTAGACTCCTGCGTTTGTTGGAAAAGGACGTATTTCCGCGTTCAATGCCTATTTCATTACATCGGACATGAAACTACAAGGTTATCTGAAGCTACAATGTATCTGGGGGCCATCAATCATATACTTGAGCGCATCAGATCTTGAATTCTTATGTCGTGCACATTGGCGAGTGTGATTGTTTCAGCTTCCGCAAGTTTGTCGACAGATTAAGTGGACTTGGAATGGAATAGGCACACCAGCCTTAAACTTGTGCATCTATCGAAATGGCAAGAAGCACCGACTTTGTGGAGAATTTCGTCTTGTCTGTAACGACGATGCTTTGTCGATCAAGATATCAAAGGATTGAATATGGAGGAAAGATAGAGCTTATTCTCAATCAGTGCGAGTACATCGCAAAGGATCGAGGTGAACTTGGAATTCTCATGCCACTATTTTCAAGTTCTTTGTACAGCAAGCATGAAATCATTGAAATGGGAATTCGTCGCAGACATCCACGTTCTCCCGAGTTATGTAGGATCGACTATTGGAAAACGCATGGATAGGGCCAAGTAATTCCACCGCCGCAAAACTTATAGCAAGATATTGAACTCCTCGGCAGACGGCCAGTCCCTTCCTTACCCACAGTTTATTCCTCCCAAAATAATCATCTTTTACGTCATCATCGGAAACCCTTGAAAGCTCGACACCGAATTGTTCCAATTCCTAGGGTGTGTGATCCACCCGATGATCTCAAGCAATTTGCTCACATAGCCGTTGATTTCATTGATATCTAATTGCGTATCGTCCCAGGATACCACACAGCAGAAGCGTTCCATATTTGCCATACCACAGTTCCAGAAAAAGCCACTATGAATTATGGGTTAGTAACTTTTGTGAATTTCTGAAGATCAAGATCTCTCACCAGTCAGGCCAGTCCATTCTTCCCAAAGGTTTCAGAGTCGAATAATCGCTAACACTAGAATCAAGATACTTCAAGCTCAAATCCCAATTGAATGCTTGTCTCATCGCAGCCTCTTTCGCAATAGGCCCCTCGTCTTCGCCTAGCCCACTCAGGATCTTGAACCATGGTGCATGAGTGTGCGAACTCAGCGCTTTCTCATCTTCGCCTATTCTTTTTAAGAGTTCACCACAAGTTTCTTTTGGTTTAATCTGTATCATATTCATGTTCCAAGTCAAAGTGGGGCCATCAATGCTCATGGCAGAAGGCAGACGATCTGCAATCCACTCTGGAAGGAATGGCCAATTACGACCTGCGTCGAAGTTCTTGAAAATCGCATGTGGCTTTCCTGTTTGTATGACGTTGAAGATGGAGATAGCAGTTTTAACGATGACTGGTGCTTGGATAAAGTACTGCGTCCGAAGCCGCTCAATATCAGGGAAATCCTGCATTCGAGCAAGTCTTGGTCTCGGCTGCGAATTTATGTTAAGCTTCCTTCTTTTGGTGTTACGAGTGATGAAATCTTTCGATATGCTGTCATTCCCAACCATCCAACCAGGAGCTCGTTTTGGTGGCCATAGAGCCTCGGTAAATCTTGAAATACCTCGAAGCCTCCTAACATGAAAGTTGACATCTGAGAGAGCGAGTGAGCTATCTTGGTATTGTTGATAAAGATCAGCGAAAAGTCTAAAGGGCGTGCCAGGGGTCGCTGTTGCTTTTGGATTTTGTATAAACATATCGAGATCGCTATACCATCCATATGCGAACAATGCATCAAAGACGGAATGATTTAAAGTCAAGATCAACGCTGATGTATCCTTGCCCTCAAGATCTGCAATTATAGCTTGGAACATTCGATCTTCAAAGCTTTGGTCGGAATCATCAATTAGATATTCTTGGATTTCTGACTCGTGAGAGAGATTCCTCCGCGAGATCAATATGTCGTACACAGCTTGAGATGGACGGAGGACCGCGTGAACAGCTGTCGCACCCGAAACTTCGACTAAAACTGTGCGCAAAACCGGTCTGGTCAAAAGAGATTTCTCTAATGCTGCACGGATCTGGCTAGAATTGCGATCCTTGATTTCGAATGCTATTCTGTGGCGATATGATTGTGGTCTTTGTCCTTTTGCAAACTCCTGAAATGTGTCTTTTATTGCCAAAACATCTTCTATGTCATTCTCCCATGTTAGACCGAACTTTTGCAAAGCTGCGTTAGTCGTCTCGGCTAAAGTATGAAGATTTTGGCGTGCATTTTCTCCTTGAGAGTGTGGTACTTTCTGACAGGATTGATTAGATGCAGTCGGATTGCATTGGTCCTCAACATAGGTTACGTCATCTGAAAGGAAAGTAGATGAGTCTCCATGATAGCCTCGTTCAATGAGAAGCTTTTTCTGCTGCTCAATGGTATTGTTTTTCTCTAAATCTGGCAAGTACAATCTTTGACCAAGTCTGGTCCACAAGATCTTACAAAACCTCAATCTTGTAATGCTATCGGCAAAATTTGTTACATCGTCTTCGACTGAAATGTCATCCGAGGTTGCGCTCGTAAGCTCTGCCCAGATCCCCCGCAATTGAGCAATTAATTTCTCGCTGGGTTTTGTTTTTTTCGCTTCTGAGATTGTGGCGAAATGCTTATTGACTATATCTTTCAATTCCACCTTCCGAATCTTCCTGTCGCAGTCATCGGAAAGGCTTTTAGATGAAGTTCATCTAATGTTATGATAGAATGGAGTGCATATATCTGACCCAAACTTTCTACTATAGCTTTGAACATATGTGCCTTGGTGACTTCCTTAGGACAAGACTGTAAGACTGCGACGGGAACCTCACCGGCTATGGAATCCCCGATGCCAATCACTTGAGCCTGTAATTTTCAATGTCAGCTTGAAAACTGGTTTCAGGGGTTGGTACTCACGGTTATGCCAAGGTCCTGAAGGCAATATTCTATTTTCGACGGAACTAAGTTCTCACCTCCACGAATGATGATGTCTTTATATCGTCCACTGATGTAGAGGACATCATCTGTGTCTATCATAGCTTGATCACCGGTAACAAACCACTTCCCAACGTCATCCGTATAAAACGATTCTGAATCTATACCATTCAAATATCCATCGATGACGGAAGTCCCGCCAATGTGGAGTTCTCCAGCTTCTTCTTTATTTAGAGGCACATTAGATTTCGGAGAACATATCTTTAGTCTAGCACCTGGTAAAACTTTTCCCACTCCGAGATGATAGCCGTTCTTAAGCATTAGATCATCGCGCCTCCAGCTTACCATAGGAGAGCCCTCTGTCATACCAAAGCCTTGAATGGCTGCCTCGCTACCAAGATGCTCCTTGCAGAACCTAACATCTTCATCTTTTATCAATGTTCCTCCCATGGTTACGTACGATAGAGACAGTGAATCTTTGCCAGGAAATTCTGGGTGTGCGACAAGTGCTTTTACTAGTAGGGGAACGGCTCCAACATGTGTAATATTCTCATGTTGGAGCGCCCGCAAGGAGGCAGACACGTCGAACTTCTCGGTAGCAAACACCACAGAGCTTCCATCCCTCCAACCTCGTATAGCTTGGCCCATTGCAAAGATATGCCACACTGGTGTGTGGATAAGCCACTTATTTTGACAGCCGTTTTTTCGGGCAACAGGATCATAGTCGTATGTTGCAGACCAGATGTTTGATGCAGTGTGAGGGCATCCCTTTGGAACTGAAGTTGTCCCACTTGTGAAGAGGATCATAGCAAGTTCCTGACCCAGTTCTGTACAATCATCATTCAAAGGAGCAAATGAAATGTTTTCCATTGGCAATTTGCCCATTATTCCATGCAGTGAATGCCAATTCATTCTCCCTTCGGAAACTTTAGAAAGTGATATCCGAACTTTGACATTTCCGAGACTTTCAAGAATCGGGGTCATGTCTGGATCTAAAACAACTAAGACTTGAGGGGGAGCCAGGCTCAGATAATGCATAATATCTTTATCCGAACTCCTTGGATCCAACGGTACAAATGGCATTCTGAGCCTCGCGGCAACCCACAAAAACAAGACCCATTCCGCTGAATTCCAAACGAAAGCTACAAGATTGTCACCCTTAGTACAGCCACGTTGTTGCAACCAAATTGCCAATGACTCGGCCTTCTCCCGAAGCTGGCCAAAAGTCCATCTCAGTGGCGCTGAGAATACTTTAGGTGTGGACCATTTCGACCCCATTTTCATTGGTAATTGGTGTTATATGCGTCTCAAGGTCTGTCTGTTCGATTTCGAATCTCGAGCTAAGATGATCTGAAGGCTGCCAAAGCGAACAAAGAGCTTCTTCATTCAAATGTTTTTCTGCAGCCGCAGCAAACATGTCCCATAGGCTTTGGTTTATGCCGGGTATCTCAAGACCAAGGCACTCTGCCTTGAGTTTTCCGACTGGAAACTCATCGGAAATTGTTGAAGTATCCATACTCTATCAGATTCGGAATTGAATGTGTATCAGAATTTCAAAAAGTATGAAGTATACCGTTCAAGTAATGTCGACGACTTTCCAGCCAACGTAGGGATTTTCAACAGTTCCGTTGCTCAAGAAATAAGTCAACGGTTACAAGGAGACAACCCAACCACGGGCTCCAAGCCTTGCACAATGAGTCAACCCAGATGGATATAATTGAAGTACATAAATGAAACACAACAAAACAGCCTTCCGTTGTACATCTCACTACTAGGTATCAACCTTCCTTGCGCATGATGAGAATAGCAGATGCTACGACATCAAACTTGCTTGGTTAGCATCATCAAGGGGGATAATTTTTATCTTTCTTGGAATATCTGACCACACCACATATCTCAGAGTAAGTAACTTTCAATGGTGCTTACGTTGACGGGCGGCACATGGCGGTGTCGGGCACCTCGCTTAAAATTGCTGACAGTGAGCCCCGAGTCTCCTGAGAAATGAATTGCTGACCTGGTACTTTGTTCTCCTACAAAACGTTGCTAAATACATTTTTAGAACTGAAAACTACAGCCACAGGCTTTTTACGATCGTGGACAAAGCGATTATCCGAGTTTGTAAACTTCCAATTGGCGATGCAAATAAATTTTCCAAAGTATTGGTTCTTCCTAGTCGTTGGACCAAGTCAAAAATTATTTTTGTCATTTGAAACTTACTCCGGAGAATCTCAGCTGACTCATATAGTTCGGGTTGGGAGTGGCTCACGAACCTCATATCTTACTTCTGACGGAGCCTTTATCGCTTGTAACTATGTACACTAATATTTACGAATAGTTGAGACTAGTGTCGCAATATTGATTCTATGATCAAATTAGTATTGATTAATACAAATGACGAGCTCGCGGAGTCTTACATCCACAATCAACCATATGATCTTATCTTATCTCCGCTTGATGATTATAAGGTTACATCAATCTTTTTGGTTTATTCCTTTGATGTTTGAATCTTGGCATGATAAAGGTCGTGTCAAGTGAGAGCATATCAGCACACCTGAAGTATTGATTTGAAAGCTTGCATAGGAAATCTGTCTTCGTGTGATCCTATTCGAGAGCGTACTTGGATACAAAAGCTGTATATACTACTGCTTACCTGGAATATCCATGACTCCTGCCATCCTCACCATGCTTCCTGTTGTTCTATTCTCAGCTTACATCTTCTTATTGCTCCGTATTAGGATCAGTGTTGCGATTTCGCTAGAAAACTGATGTCAAAGTACTCATCAGATGGCATTCAATGCCTTTCAAATCTGACGTCCCCAGTGTCATAAGAATATCTTCTGACATGTCTACCCGCGCATCGGTTGATAGTACCCGTTCACATATCACAGGGGTAATTCTTATTACATGGCCAAGGAATTATTTAGTGCCCGTTTCTTGTCACTATCATATGCCGTGCGAAACCATGCCTGTCTGTGGACCCTAAATGAAGACTTTTGGGACAAACAGTGATGAATGTTGAGAGTTCATAACATTTCGCCGCAGATCGCATATATCCTATCATATAAAGCTGACTATACAATCAAATAGTATAGTCATACGCATTGGTAACCGTGATTATATGCGAGAACACGATACGATAAATAGAAATCAATTTACAATGATGTAGAGTTCTATGGAGAATTGAAAGGGATCCAAATTAAGATTCCTTGGGCTGATGTGTTGCATGCTTATAGTAATAATAAGTGTTGCTCAGTATCACGTGAGATGTGAGATCTCCCTCTCTAACATTAGATTGTACGATGTACAGTTGTAAGGTTGTAAACTCCTAATATGCGATCTGTAATAATATGTTACGATCTGTAATTGAAGGTTACAATGTTCAATCAAAAAGAAAAAAGCTGTCAGTATCTCAAAATAGTGGATGAGATAGCTGTCAAAGTTCTTAGCTCTATATGGTGTCTTTGATACATGGGGTTTCTTAGTGACAGTCTGAGTCAAAATTTTTCCCTGCTTAAAGTAGTATCAAAGATCTACTTTGCATATGTGATGTCTACGCTTATCAATCTGAACCCCAGTTTTAATTTGGCTGTAGTATCTTTCATTTATGAGATGTCTTAGTGATCTCCTGAGTCAAAAGCTTGCTTGATGGGGGTCAGATTTGACGTATTATGACACGTGTGATGGAGAGACAAGTCTGTATAATATTTTGCGTTGCTTTTGATTATTATATCTCTACTATTTATAGCTTTTTTGATCTGCTCTGCATCTGTCAATGCCCACGCTCGTCAATTCGATATCTGGTTTTAACTTGGCATAGCCTTACCAAATGTTGGCATTATGAGCCCTGCCATATGCAGATAAAGCTTTGCTATGTTTCTATCGCCTGTAAAGTGACAACATAGTTACTTTCCGAACTGATCATAAAGAACAGTCACTGTTCTCATGTCTTTCAAAGCACCACCAACAACGAAAAAACTTATGCTGTCTAGTATCAACTACCCATAAAATTAACTTCATTTCTTGATCGCAAATATGATAATTTTCAGTGAGACGAGCTCCAATATAATTACAGTTTCTTTAACTTTATGTCTCTTTTATTATGCATTAAAGCAAATCAAGCTTTACTTCACGAGACGCCGATTCCAAAAATCAAACGGTTGTCAACCAGCTCAAGTGAAATACCCTTTGAAAGATCCAATATTTGGTATTGATTTGGTGTTGGATACAATCAGAAACGCCAAAAACTTACGACATCTCGAAGGAACTTGGAGGCGTTATGAGCAGCACGGAAATACCTTTACATCCAAGCTTATTACGTATCCCACAGTTTTCACAATCGATACAGAGAATGTCAAAACCATTCTTGCAACAAAATTTGATGATTTCCGGCTCTCATCTATTCGAGTCAATGCAATGAAACCCGTGTTCGGACATGGGATCTTTACAACTGATGGAAAACTGTGGCACAAATCTCGCGCACTCCTTCGACCTACTTTTGCAAAGGAGAGTATATCTGATCTAGAGGTTGCTGAGATACATTTCCAACATCTACTAAATCGTATTCCTCGCGAAGGGTCTACTATTGATCTACAAGATCTCTTTTTCAAATTCACCATAGATACGGCTACCCAGTTTCTTTTTGGACATTCCGTCAACTCCCAGTCCAACTCAGACCATTCCTCGGGTGGCGTATCCGATGCAGAATTTGTCGAACAGTATACCTATACCCAACTCGAAGCATCCCATAATGTACGGCTTGGACCACTTGCACGGTTTCGATATAACCCTGCGGCCAACAGGGCTCAAAAGACCGTTTTTAAGTACGTCGATCATTACATAGATGTAGCTCTCGACGCGCTAAAAAAGGATGCGAAGAAGACCGAAACAAACGATGTCAAATTTGGCCCCTACGTTTTTCTCGAAGAGATAGCCAAGTTGACCACAGATCGACAGGTTCTGAGGGACCAGGTGTTGAATACCCTTCTCGCGGGCCGAGATACAACAGCTAGTTTACTTAGTAATCTGTTTTTCATGCTAGCACGATACCCGGATGTATGGAGAAGGCTACGAGCTGAAGTGATGGAACTTGACGGTCAATTGCCGACGTATAACGATTTGCGAGATATGAAATATCTGCGTCAATGTATTAACGAATGTAAGTGTAGTAGCCCTATTTCCACCCCTAATTACAAGTCCAAAATCAAATGCTAATCGAGTAGCTCTCCGTATCCATCCTGTAGTCCCCGCTAACACTCGCGAAGCCGTCCGCGACACTTGTCTTCCACGTGGTGGGGGAGAAGATGGCCAAGCACCGTTATTTGTTAAAGCGGGAACCCAGGTTCTATACAGCGTGTACTCGATGCATCGTCGTAAAGATCTCTTCGGTGAAGATGTGGAAACCTTTCGTCCAGAACGCTGGGATCAGATACAGCCGAAATGGGTATGAATCCTGATCCAAATCTCTTGTATTTCAGCCATACTAATTTGAATAGGAATTTTTACCATTCAATGGAGGGCCGAGAATTTGTTTAGGGCGTAAGTTCCTTCTGTTCCTTTGTGGTAATTCAAGTAGTTTAATGGTGACTCATTAAAATTTCGGACACAGAGCAATTCGCATTGATCGAAGCGTCGTTTGTGATTGTAAGAATGTTGCAGGAATTTGAGGAGATTGAGCCGAGAGATGACAAGCCATGGCAGGAAGCATATACTCTGGTCGTCTGTTCGCATAATGGGACACAAGTGTCGTTGAAGTGCGTGACATAAATGTTGTTATTTTATCATAGATGGGGGAAAATGGGGGTATAAATTATGTTTTAACGTTTATAGACTTTAAAGTATGGAACTTTCGAGTATGATGATTACAGATGTTTATTTTTGGCTTTCTTTCTCGGAGCTCTTTCACACGAGATGAATCGTCATGGTCAGCTAGTGCACTCCTCATCGGACATTTTTTCTACAGTCTGGTAGTTGTATAACTGCATACCAGATTTATATGTAGATCATCATATCTCACATTTCGTGGTCAAATAAATTTGACTTGCTTTTATACCGACTCGTATTGGTGATGAATACTTGATTATCATCCAACGCCCGAACTTGAGAACCCCCATACTGAAGCTACCACTAGAAGAACTTCAGACCGGAAATCGTTTTGTTTACCAGACTGAGCGATTCTTAGTGAGAATTCGAAGACTTTCATTATTCAAACTCAAAAGTACTTGTACGAAAGGCGTTCCCAGGACCAAAAATATTCGAGGTTGCCATGCTGAGGCTCTGAAGGCTGATTTCGTCCGAACATAAAGCTATTTCCTGGAGTGAATTTAACGCCAGAGGTATTTTCAGTTTCAAAAAGATTAGAGTCACCAAATTGTGAGGCAGAGGTTAGCTTTCCAAAATTGTAAGACATATTTGCACCTGAACTTGAGCTGGAGTCCAGCGTGGAGTTGAAGGCACTTGCGGAAAACGAGGTTGGCGGTGCTATTTGTTTAGGTGGAGTTATCCAGAAAGACGCCAGGAATATGCCTTCTCTCTCTTTCTCCTCTGCAATCGATTCGTGCGTTGGATTATATTTCAAATGTTTTTTGGGATCCTGATATTCTGGAATGCTTGGCGCGATTTTTCCTGGCCAGTAATTGGTCACTGGCTGGCTATCTTCATACATGTATTTCTCTCCCATATTCTTGCAAGGAATCTACCAGTGGTACAGACATCGAGTAATTGCTTCGCAGTCATGCGCTCGTGGGGTGAATACGCGAGACATTGGAGTAATGTTCTTATGAGACTTTTCGAATAGATACCCGAGCTTTTTATCGTGGGATCATCGAGTAGGCTCCGTCCACATGTTAGCACTGGTGTTTGTAGTGCTACTGTGGAATCAGTGTCTGATGATGGAAATCCTACATACGCCATGTCTTGGCCTATTCTGACTTGTTGTTTTGTCATTAGAAAGTATAGTATTGCAGCTACGCCAAAGACATTGGCAGGTGTACTATAGAAACGATTCTGCATTTGAGGAAAAAATTGTTCCTTTTGAGAGATTAGAGAGCGGCGAGATATGGGTAATAACTGAGTTAGATTAACATACTGGGGCGCCCCATCCGAGCGTCAAATTATTCGCAACATGTTCGAGCCATCCGGGATCTTGTGGGTTGCTAGGAACATGGCTTGCTAAGCCAAAGTCTCCCATCTATATATTTGATTAGCCAACCAAAAATTTGAACTTGTGGACTTCTATGGGTTAAGTTACCTTAAAGATGTCGATATCATGAATTTCGTCCTTATCTCCAATGAGTACTAGGAAGTGAAAGAATAAACATAATTGCGACTTAACAAGACAAGAGGAGCAACTTACTGTTTGCCGGTTTAATATCCAAGTGGCAGATAGGGATCCAGTCTCGATCATTCTCAGCCTCTAAATTCTCAGTTCCTCTCTCGAGCACGATGCATGCTCGAGTTAAACACTCAAAGATGTTCCATATGTCTTTCTCTTGAAGTACAGCACCGGACTTTCTACCATTAGTTCAGCAGTGTGCTTCTTGCCCAATTCACCACAGCTTTCACTTACTCAATTTGATTCGTCATCCAGTTTTCGACATCGCCCTTCTCGCAAAATTCGAGATAGATCCTGCTTTGACACCTCTTCTGACGCCTCTTGAAATTCTCTCTCCCGATATCAAACATTCCTCCAATGTTATGTGGTACAACCTCGCCTTCATGGTATCCCTGATATATCTTCAGCACATGTGACGTATCTCTATCCACGAATAATTGGAGTAACATCGACTCGCTCAAAAGATCCTTGTCTGATCCGTCAGCTTGTTTGACTACAATATACTCAGGCATTGCTTCCGTTCCCTTTTGCGATCCAATCTTTCGATACAGATCTGCAGAGCCGGCACCGCCTTTCCCGAGATGTCGCACCCCTTCCCATGTTTTCTCGAATTCGGGCCATTGTTGCCATGTTTCAGCTAACTTTCTCCATGCTTCCGCTTGTATTTGTTCGCGCTGCGAAGGAGTGTAAGAATCCCAATCGGAAGAAGAGGGTTGCCCGGGAGGTGGTGTACGTGGTGATTCTATACTAAATATGGGAGTATAAGATATATTAGGTGTTATATTAGCGCTGACGGGTTGCTGCGTAAGACCAAGAATACGATTTTTAGCTGGCAGCCGTCTACTACCAGCAGGTTGTCGTGCACTGGGTCTTCTTCTACTAGCCATTGGCGTTTAATATATCAAAAACTATAGTAGTTGATGAAAGTGTCGAGCTTTTTTTCCAGGAATTCATTAGTTTGTCATAAGCAATAAGTTTTTAATTTCGATAGCTCTGATGCAATCGGACAAAGGAAATGCTAGAACGGGATCCGAGGGTTTTCCTCGTTTGAGAACTTAAAGAACGCGTTCTTTGTTCTTCTTGTTCAAATGCTGTTGTTCTCACCAGAACAAACCTCAAAGAAAGTTCTCCGTTAAAGGATAAATAACTGATCTAACGAGACTAGTTGCGATAAAATTAAAAAGGGGTAGGGGAGCTGGCACAGGGGAAATGATGAGGTGAATTCATTAGCGTTTCCATTTAGCGAAAATAAATTCATTTGCGAAGAGTGCATGCCTCCACACTTCATTTATATTATTTTGTCATTAGTCACATATTAATTAATTTTCACATACAATGACACTATCTGCATATCATAAAGTCTTCGTTTATATTCTGAAAGGAAATTGTATATTCTATTAATCAAGCCTGCGTAACTCAGACAGTCTCCAACCTATTGAGATTGCTCCTTGATACTTTTTTTGTGTTTTATGAGAAGTCAACGCCTTTACTTATCTTCTAAAACCCCCCAAGAATGTCCCACTTACCTTTTACTTCTTCTTTGAGAAACTCCTCGCCATCTTCTTCATCCCTTCGCTCATCTTTCTCACCAACTTCTTTGGCGTGAATGACTCGACTTCACCCTCGACTGGAATTGTGCGTGGCTCCGCAACAGGTCTTTGTCGTTGGCTTTCCGGTGTTGGATGTCTGCTTCGATCTCTCGTGGAGTTTGGATGGTTGACTGAAACTTTGACGGGGCGTCTCTTCGTTTTTCTTCCTCCTCTCCGCTTTCTCTCCTTACCGGAACTTGATAAGATCTATCGAGTTCCTTGGCTTTCTCCTGTTTCTTGAGGACTCGTGTTCCTAAAGATTTTGGATGAGATAGCGGTGGAGATGGAGATGGTGGAAACTTGAGGTTTGCTACATGAAAATCTTTCAATTGCATGCTTTCGAGCTTCTTTTGAATGCGCTGGGTGGTTCTGACAACACAGCTGAGACAGTCACTTTCTTCTCTGTGGATTGGCTCCGAGAAATGGAATTGGCAGTCTTCGGGAGCAATTTTCATGCTCAATGAGTGGGGGCAAGCCTCGACGGACCTAGTCAAGCATCCGCAGGAGTAAGTGATGGTCATGTGGCGACACATGTTGAAGATTCTGGATTGGTTCTTTGTGGTGGTGATGTTGGCTTGGTTGGCTGTTGGTTTTGTGAGTAGGTGTATTGAGGACTGGAATGGTTTGAAGAGAAATGAAGTAGAGGGAGGAACATGAACCTATTTATTCTTGAAACCACGTTGTTGTTTAGATATAATTTGGATGTTCAAAGTCAACAATTATCGATTTATTGCGCAGTTCATTTCATTAACTGAGGATAGAACCACGGAGAAATAACATCAGAACAGCACATCATGGCCTGATCCGTAATTACTCCAACGACATTTGAAACATGGTATCATATTCATCGATTGTTTGCAAGTAGAAAATGGCTTATGTTAACCAGCCGATCTTTCAATCTTCACCAAGAGCACGTGCAGCCACATACATGCGTTCCAGCGGTTGGTTACGTTAAGAATTCTCATAAACATGTTTACTTGTCCCTTGAAAGGTTCTTGTCTCTGTACAGAGATCTCAGAACAGATCTGAAACAAATGAATTCTTAGGGGTATGAGAAGGGCCCCTTCAACCCTCATTTGATTCTCCCAGAAAAACTTCAGTATCAAACAAGACATAGAACTAACAATAACTATATCAAATATTGAAACCACAAAAACAGTCAACTCATCTCCACAGAAAATCTTCAAACCAGCAATATCAATCATGAAGAACTTCATCATCAACTTCATCATCTGCTTCCTCGTAAGCATCGCAATCGCGGACACCCACAACGTCCCATTGGTTGAGGGAATCAAGGTTTTCGAGTTATCTCCAGAAGCACCAATCGACTTAAATAGACCCGGAATCATCTTTAGGCACGTCTGGTCTCCATTTCAGTAGTCACTCAATTTGGTCTGCGTATCGAACCTGAACAACGATATCAATTGCCAATGGTATGCCAAGCTCACTAGAGATTAGATCTCGACGCAACTAATCCGCAAGGATTTCGTTTTTGAGCTTGAGAGCCATTCAAACTTTCGAGAACTAGATCCCAGGCCAATATATTACTCGAGACTATTTAACATCATCAAGGTCAATCCACTGATCTTGCCAGCTGACTACGCCGAGAAGGAGACGAAACCTTGGAGGGCCTTCCACGCTCTCTCAATGGAAGTCAATTGTGTGCGGGAATTTGGACTAGAATCGATTCTTTGGTGCGAGCGATTGGATTCACCAGTCGAAGGGGAGCTCAAGAGTTGAGTGAATGAACGTGAGTCGTGTGAGAGAGAGGAAGAAAGAGAGAAAAGAAGAGCAAGCTCATCAAGAATGATCCAAGTCATCTTGAGTCCAAATCGAAAACTTTCCCTTAATTTTCGCACCTAAATAACCGATCTCCCTTCGCAGCGAAAGCGCAAAAATCAAATCAAAATATCGAAAGCCTGTCATGGCAATAAACTACAAAATTTAGGCCCTAAAGTGAATCCATCCAATGAACAGTGAATTTGACCAGAACCTTAAATGAAATCAGTACTTCGATATAGATTATATAGCACCTGCAAAAAGCAGGCTGATACAATTCTATCCTGCTACTTCACCGTCCCTATTTCATGTGACCCTCAGAATCAGAGTGAGCTAAAAACCTCTTCCTTTGCCCTTCCTTTGAGAGCCTGCCTCAGTATAATCGCAAATAATAGCGTTAGAGAGGTATAACTCTGTTATTGTCTTGATTCCTAGCCCAAGAAACAACTTGTGCTCTGAATGAATAGGCACAGTTTAAATGACACTATTCGAACGACTTTGTGTCGATGTATGATACTTGTCTCGGATATCTGAAATTTCTGGATGTATTTATTATGTGGAATTCATAACAAAAATATTCTGCACATCCCCACAAGATATTTAAAAAGCGAGTAAATCAAAAGTGAAAGGATCATGATAGATATAAAAGGTGAAAGAGGATTTCTCATTTCGAACATAAAATCGTAAACATATAAAACGCCGATAACCCAAGGCTATATACACAAACACCACACCCCGTCCCATGTAGAATTCTTCATTCCATCTATGATCCAGCATTTTAATTCATCCTTTTAATCCGAACTTCATCATTTACATCTTCAAATCCTTTGGTGCCAAGATAATGTTGTACTCGAGGTCTAATTCTGCCTTGGGGTCACCGTGGCGGGGCTTGAAGTCAACGACGAGATCTGGCTTGACAGCAAAAACAGTGTCGGTGATGAGGTATGGGTCGGTATTTGGGTAGATTTGAGTTGTGACTGGCTTGTAGTTTTCGTTTGAGATCTGCGGGTTCCTGCATTAGCTTACCAATCATATTAAAATATGCGGAGTAACTTACCATCAAGTGAATGTGAGCAGGTCTCATTGGGTGACGATCAAGCAATTTCAAGAGAACACCAGCTGGTCCATCAGTTGGCAGAGAGTAGGCAGTTGGGTGAAGACAGTAGAAGTGATATTGTCCGTTCTCGTCGGTTCTGAACTTTCCTCTCAAGTTGTTATCGGTTTGGTTCTCGGGGTCTTGGAAATCGTATTTTCCGTTGGCAGATGCTTGCCAGATGTCAACAACTGCGTTTGGAATTGGCTTCTTTGTAACCAAATCGGTAACGGTTCCGTGCATCAAAGTAGTCTGTCCACCTGCAGGTACGGGGTCCTGAATGATGCTACCACCAAGTGGTCTGAATGGGGCGTTGGGGCTCCAGAATGGACCGAGAATTGAGGAAGATGTAGGGGTCTCGCCAGACTCGGTCATGATGTAGTGTGCAATTTCATCGACGACACTAAGAACATTGTTAGATGTGAATGTGGGGTAATGGATTTGGCTACTCACGATTCGAGTCCGAGAACATCGGAAATTCTGTGACCTTCATTTCTAGTGGGGGTACTAATTTGTCCGATAGTGTTGACGAAGTTGACACCGGTCAACCATTCGTCGATTGTGAGTTCGTTCTCTCTTGCGAAGTCATGGATGTGTTGGATGAGAGAGCCCATCAATTGTCTTGATCGAGCATCGGTCTTGGGACCGATAGACTTGATGACATTGGTGGTGAAAGTTGGGTCGAATCTCTCGAATCCCTTGGAGGTACCGGTGGTTTCTGGTTGGGTTGACATATTGATATTGATTGGGGAAGATGTGGATGGAGTGTTTGAATGATAGTCTCAAAGGAGATTGCGATGGAAGGATGAATATAAAGAAGATGTTGATGATGGAGAGGAACAACTTAGCTCGAGGAAAGAGGCCTACCTATATATGATTATTTCCCCAAGTATCCTCACGATATTCGCCCCAACGATGGGAACGAATCAACAAGCATCTTGGGAGTAGTCCGCAATGCCTGCTCCAGAATTGGTGATCGAGTGACCCCTCCAAAGTTCTAGCGATGGTTGAGACGGTAGTTCAGTCGGCTGTTAGTGTCAGAATAATGTGGTTTAGCATTGAAAATAGCACGGCACTGATCTTCGGAAACGCTGCTACAGCTAACGCTAAGTCACGGGTTTGACCGGAAGTATCTTTTGCCATATGAATTGTCCAAAAATCATTCGACAATGGAATCGCGATCACTAGACTGTATGTCAAACCATCTGTCTTAGCTTCATAATTGAATTGATCTAATTCGCCCTCCGCATTTACTACGATTAAGTGTCTGTGTGAGTGTGAAAGTTTTGCTAACAGAGTTCTGTTATCCTCTTGGAACTGTCCGGGAAAGTCTTTAACCGCCAGCACCAAACTTCCCGTGCGAAGTCCCCGGATTACGCCCCGCACTCCTATAACCTAGCTTTGGCCCCGCCAACAGCAAGCCAGGGGGTTGTATGACGGGAATGCCTCGATAACAAAACAATTTCCATTTCTACAAGATAATATTACGGTCTATTCCCGTCATCAGCTCATAATTGAGAGAAGTCGTTACGAGATTCCAATTCTAAATTTCAAAGTTGGTCGGTCGCCTTACATTGGTTGTAACGTGTATGTTCAAAAATTCGTTTGTTCGCCGACTTCACCCTCTACAACCGAGAAGAATGCTTCATCATTTGATGGTGGGAACTTGGACCCCTCCAGGTGCAATTTTTACCATTGAGTTTGATGATGAAGCATTAACTTTGAAATTGCTCAAGAGAACACCAATTCCAGAAGATGAGCCAATTTCCTGGATGACTTTTGATGTAAGTTGGGATCTCTGTCGGGTGGGAGTCTAATGAGCGCCAGTAGGCTGACCCAACATCTTCTTGAATAGCATGCGAAGAAAAACATATATGGAGCTTCAATGAAGAAGTGGTCAAGTCACTCTGTCACAAGCCCTGCGGAAATCCAACATACCACTTCACATCCTATGTCCCATGACCGTATGTAACTTCCTCGGTCGCTGTATTCTCTGCGAAAACATTCTAATCGCGTTTGCAAATAGCATCCGCATCGAAATTTGACACGAGAACGAGAGCAATTTTCTGCTTAGCATCAAAGAAAGCACCTTATAATGTTTACGGCAATCCATTCTATGAATTCGCTGGCCATGGAAATGTTTTCTCTGTTGATGAAAATGGCGCATTGAAGGAGAACATTCAAAATTATGAATATAGTCCCGAATCTGCAATACATGGCATGGTATTTGACGCAGAAGAGAATTACCTTTATTCCGCAGATATGTGGGGGGACAAAGTATGGACACATAAAAAAGATAGCCAAACAGGTTTACTTGAGTTGGTGGGAAGTGTAGATGCGCCGAAGAAGGGAGATCATCCTCGATGGGTTGAAATACACCCAAATGGAAAGTATCTTTATGCTTTGAATGAAGCAGGAAATAATCTGGCAGTTTATGTCATTGATGAGAAAACTCATCTGCCAGTATTCACAAACATTACATATCCTCTGGTACCCCCAGGTATGCGTTCCTCCTTTCTTTCATTTTCACGGAAGATTTCCCGCTTAGCGACTAACATTTCATAATAGGGGTTCCGAATCTGAAGTTATATCGATCCGATGTTGTTTTCATATCACATAGCGGCAAATATCTTTTTGCGACATCACGATCGAACGATTTCAAGGTTACAGGTTACATAGCAGCGTTCAAACTCGGACCAGCTGGAAATATCGAAAGACAGATTTGTCTGAATCCGACGCCAACAAGTGGAGGTCATTCAAATGCAGTCAGTCCTTGCCCTTGGAGTGATGAGTGGTTGGCTTTGACAGACGATCAAGATGGTGGATTTGAAATTTATAGATGGCATGAGGAGTTTTTGTATAGGGTTGCGAGAATTGATATCCCGGAACCTGGGTTTGGTATGAATGCCATTTGGTATGATTGAAGAATATAGAAGACAGAAATAAATGATACTTGTGACATGGTATACACGACGTAGAGTGTAAATTGTTGAAATGTAATAATTTTACAAAAAATATTCCAAGTATTTCCTTCCACATGTCAATTAGAAACCATGATGAACCTTTTATTTAATGCCTCAAAACCTCCAAGGTTAAGGCATGAATTTAATCCCCTCACTTGGAAAATGCCGGAGAAGTTTCCGTGTCAAACACATACCGGATTTCTAACCGCTATTCAACCACCCTCGAGCCACCCCTCAATAATATGGGGACGATATTTCATGGCGAACAAACATGGAGGGGCAGATATGGCCATGTGAGACGGTTAAGCCTTCTGCCCCCTTAATCATCTCGGTCCCGTCCACTATGCGAAATTATTCGCAATTCACCTCGAGGAATCCTCTCATCAAGATATCTCTCACTTATCCAAACGATTGAACCTTACAATCAAGTCAATTCATACAGAAGACTCGAAACAGTCCCACTACATCATACTCAACCATGGCACCCATACCCGGTATCCTGTATGTTACCATGCAGCCTCAAGAATCTCTTCCAGATTCTCAATGGCACGACTGGTACAACAATGAACATGGACCTCTCCGATTGCGTCTTCCCTTCATCACAAATGGTTTTCGCTACCGCGCAAGCGACTTGTCTTCCGCGAAGCCAGCCTCTCCATCCCATCCAGAATGGATGGCCATTTACGATGTCACAGATATGGCAGCCATGAACACCGATACCTATCTTCGACTCCGCGGGCCCGAAGTAAAGACCGATAGAGAAAAGGAAACAATGGCACAGATTAAGGTGGACAGGAAATTGTATGATTACATTGGTGGCAAGGAAATTGACGGATATAAGAAAGTGGAGGAAGTGGGGTATGATGAGGGCAATTACGTGGTGACTTCTACGGCAGAAGTCAAGGAGGAATTTGATGAGGAATTCAATAAGTGGATGGAAGAAGAACATTTATCAATGATTGCGAAGATTCCAGGTTGGAGACGTACAAGGCGCTTTGTTACAAGCAGTATCTTGGGAGGCAAAGAAGGAAAGGAGTATTTGAATGTCACTGAATTCGCTCCTAAAAACGATGCATTTGGGGATGCATTTAAAGCCGTTGGTTCCACAGAATGGGCCAAGAAACTCACATCGACCGCTTTGAATTCCTTTAATTCTAGGCAATACAATTTATACTATACATTCGGCGCCGCACCCCGAGATATCTCCAACTTTTCAAAATCCTATTCGACGAATTGGAAATCGATTGACGGGAAAACAAGCACTGGACCAAATACGATTGCTGAAGGGGGGGCCATCGAGTCTCACATAACAACAAAAGATGGAGTTGATCTTGCATACCGACTCGAAGGGTCTTCTGACCCAGCTGCTCCCCTTATCATCCTCAGCAATTCCATCCTCGTAAACTATTCAATCTGGACACCCTTCATTCAAGCATTCCTTGCGTCACCCACTGGCAAAAGTTACCGCATTCTCCGCTACAACTCCCGTGGACGCACATCCAACGCCGGCTCTTTACCCGTAACCGTCGATCTTCTCGCTTCCGACATCATCCACATCTTAGATACTCTGCGTGTTCCCAAAGCAGCTTGTCTAATCGGTGTCTCACTCGGTGGTGTCACCGTTCTCAACACTGCCCTCAAATACCCCAATCGTGTTAATGCTTTTATATCCTGCGATACAAATGCCTATGCTCCTCCCTCTAACCCCAAAGCATGGGATGAGCGCATCGCCATGTCTGCCGCCGAATCTGCCAAATCGCCCAATGATGAACAGATTGTAGGCTCAGAGTTGGCCGAGGTCACAACTCGCAGATGGTTTGTAGCAGAAAATTACGAAAATGAGATATTGAAGAAAAGATTTGAGGATGTGAAGAAACAGGTTGAGGAAAATAGTTTTGAAGGATTCCAGAAAGGTGTAAAGGCTCTTTATCAGTATGACATTAGAGAAGAGATGAAGAATCCAGAGGTTGAGAAGGCGTTATTTGTAGTTGGTGGTGGTGATGGCGTTTTACCCAAGACAATGAAAGAGATGGCGGGGAATTATGGAAAGGGTGTTGAGTGTAAGGTTATTGAAGGAGCGGGACATTTACCGATGGTTGAAAAGCCAGAGGAGTTTGCTAATGTCGTAGCTACATTTTTGGGTTAGCTTGTATAAACCTCTGTTCAGTTCGTTAAGTAGTTATTAGATGATCCAATGTTATCATTACAATTCATCAATATTTTAGCCCCTTCTGTGAACTCTGGATTTTTGCTCTGCACTACGCCAGGGAACTTTCCAGCTCACTGCCACACAAAGTAAAGTAGAAGGATCGCATCAGATATAAACTTCGTTCCATTATGTATGTATGTACCTATGTACTTAACTGCTCTAAATCCATCCGCCCACACTTCTCAATAACCAACCACCACCCCCCAAGTCCATCATGCAGCTACCTCACCAATATGATACTATACACACTTCAATATGAATACACCGAAAGTTACGCAAAAAGAAAAGAACGAAAAAAAGCACGAGAGCTATATAGCAAGATCTCTTTCTTCAGCGATAAAATTCTTGTTCCCTCTTCATCGCGTATACCTCAAAGGAATCTTTGCCCGACGAGCTGTTCTTCTCACCGCAAAGTCTGCTGCTTCTTCATCCTCATCTTCATTCTCATTTTCATTTTCATTTTCATTTTCTTCCTCGTCCGCATCGCCCATCTCGATATCTGAACCTTGACCACGCAACATCTCGTCTTCGGCATCGCTATCTTGTATCATTTTGTCGTTGAGATTGCGAGTAGAATCCATCATCTCATCGCCATTACCAGCCTCTTCCTCACCGGGGTATGCAGCATTCGATGGTCCCGCAATATCATATTCTAGAACCTTCGCCTTTTTACTCGCTTTTCTTGGTCTTCCTTTCTGCCAGCCCTTTCTCTTCGCTGCTACTGTTCTCGGCACCGTTCCTTTACCGCTATTTCCACCCAGTCTATTCAACGTGGCTTTATTCGTCTTGGGTAATTTTCCTTTCCCCTTCGCACTTTTCTTATTCAAGCCGTATAGCTCCGCAAAATTGCGACCGTAGTCGAAAAGTAATTCCTCCCCAATGAGAATATCTCGAGTGGCCCGGAACGCAATTCTATGCTCTCCATTAACCAATAGAATCCTTGCAGCGCAGTTCATCCCATCGGCTTCTGATCCCGCATGGTTTATGAATCTCGTTTTATTGCCCATCCGCATAGCATCTATCGTCCATTCTTTATTCAAGTTAAACAGAAAACTCATGAACTTTGCATTGTATTCCACTCCTCTGCGTTCGGCTTCGTTATCAGAAATCAATTCTCCTGTGTATTCGCTTAGGAAATCCCCTTTCTTGACAGGCTCTGCAGTGAAAAGTCCAAAGCCAGCTCCTTCGATTGGAGATTTCCCGAGAATTAGTTTCTTATTCACGCCCCGTTGCAAGGCTATATTTTGACAACCATACTGAAAAAGTTCGTTCTTATGACGGCTCTGCGGGCGAATCCGAGGGATTGCTCCACAGGTATTGCATTGATCGCCGCATTCGCGGTTCATTTGGAAGCATATGCATGTATCAGAGGCGCAAGCAAGACCCGTCGAATGACAAGAACAACCGGCGAATCGTCGTTCACAACGATCTGAACAACCACAGAATTGTTCGCAGAGAAGATTGTTGAGAGCGCAATAGCATTTCATCTCCCGACTACAGGGCCCTTCGTGTACGCAAGGAACAGGTTGGGAGCGTAGTTCGTGCAAGTGTGCCATGGTGCTATCTTGCCAACCCGGTTTGAGGCCACGATTGCGAGGTACGGCCTTGGGATTGTACCACTCTACTCGTTCGCTCGGCTGGTGACTCTTACTTCTGCTCATAGGGGCTTTGTCCTCGAGCTCTAGAATCTTGGAATAAATCTGCCAGCAGGGCTTTTCGAGAATCTCCACAAGAACGCATGGTCTACTAGGTTTGATTATAAGTGCATCTTTCAACTCATTTTCTTCCTCTTCGGTCCAAGAATAGTTTGTCCAGTCTTTCCATCCACTGTAACATTCATCATTACATGCTTCGACAATGTCTTTTTCTGTGTTCCAAAGCTCCGGATGCCAATCCTCATCACTATGGTCTCGGCCGTTATGTTTCCGTAAGACATCTGGCAAATGCATGATAGATTTCTCCCACGCATACTCGTAATCAAACTTATTGAAGTATGATTGCTGAGGAGAACCAATCTCAGAGGAATTCTCTTCACTAGGAATGTCCTTATTGATCCTTTGGTAATTATACTCACCATGCGTTGTGCATGCAGCACCTTGGCATATTAAACAGGTAAATTGGGCCGTTGTCTCTAATCGAGCTGATGGTTCGTCAGATCGTTTGTGCAACTCAGAAGTTGATCTCTCAATGTAAGCTTTGAACTGGGATTGAGATAGTACCACAGTTTCCAGATCAATCTTGAAGTATTCAGCCAATACCTCAGCGACCATAGCCATTCTCTTCAATAAGTGGCCAGATAGAGGGCCACCAAGTGTTTTTAGGACCAATTGTTTCTCTCTGGTAGGATATGGTATTTTATCAGACTGATGTCCCAAAAAGTATTGAACGAGCGTGTCCATATCACAATTGTTGTCGAATCCTATGTTGCTTAATGCGACAACTACTCGCCTGTTTATTTGGGTTATTTGTTCTTTCACTCTTGGGTTATCAAGCCTTTCTGTGTACGCTGTATTCAATTCCCTTTCGAATTTATTCATAGCTTTCTCTTCATTCTGAACAACCAATGGAACATACCGCAGGATATCATCATCTCCTGTTATATGATTTCGTGTGACGTTGATGTGATGAGTGTAGCTCGGCGTTCGCTTTACGTCACCATCTCCCATTATCTGTGGGCATACATAATTTGAAGTTTTCGCTTTCTTGGATGTCTGTTGCGGTTAGCAAATACTGAATTACATGATTTCATTAGAACATACTCGTGTGATTAGATCGATAGCATCATCAAAAGTTTCGTCTTGCGCCGTGAAAGATGCAAAAGGATTCTCGCCATCATCATGTAAAGATATATTTGACGCTGCAAGGGGCCGCAATTGTAGTTTCTCCAAGTGACGCTCAAGGCTGAATCCCCAATCTTCCATTCCTGTCTCCCCTAGTTTTACCAAACTTGCTTTGATCTCCTTTGCGGACAACTCTCGCGATACCATGTCAGACAATGCATCTAGGACTGGGGACTTTCCTCTTGATCTCGGGATAGATGATGCCAATCGTCCACGTCTCTCCCCTTCTTGCACTCTGAGAGAAGGTGAATTAGAGCGGGTAGATGCAGGCCTCGAAGTTACGTTGCTTGATGTTTGACCTCTTGTCATTCTCTTCTGTAGTATTGATCGAAAATCATCCTCACCATCACCAATGTCATCATCTACAGCTTCTTCGTCGGTATTTTGAGCGCTCCTCTCTTTCGATCTTCTGTTTTTCCCAAGCTGGCCCGCGTCTTGCACCGCCATGATTCCCCTTCTTTTGATAAGGACCCTTTCGGATTTTATGCATATCAGCACCATTCTCTATATCTCTTCCCTTGACTTTAAGATTGGGCTCAGAGAGCTCATTTGTTATAAATGAGCTGGGGCTCTTGTCTCGCTTTGCTGTTGATTCAGAAGACCCAGTTGCTCCTCTCGTCCGCGATCCTCGCAAGTGCCCTGCAGCCTTTCGCGACTCAAGTTCCTTCTGAGCTGCAAAATCGTTTTGAATTGCAAATTCATCATTGTCATTTTGATTTTGTTTGTCTGACATTCTTGATGTGGATGTTCTCGTAGAAAGTGGAGATTCTTTGATCTCGGGCGATCTAGAGTATTGCCTGATCGTCGCTGAAACTCTTTTAGGCACCAGTCTGGTAGGAACACTACTTGTAGCAGGGTCGTTTCTCAGAGACGAAGTGTCCGAAGGGAGCGGTGCAACAGCGTTGCTGGATGGGAGCCTTTCTGTGCTAACTTCCTTGGCAATCTTTGAATCCATCTTCGAGAGATCGGATGCTGGCTGCGCACTAGCTTTTGGACTTGACTGCTGGCCCACAACCTGGGAAAGATTGAAGTGACTGATGGCTTTGTTGCAAATCTAAACCTTTCGATGCTGCCGGCGTTGATCCAATTGAGCTGGGCGAAGAAGTGTTATTATTTTGATTTAAATCGGAGCCAACTGGACCAACTGATCCTGAGTTAGACTTTCGATGTGAGACCACTGTCTTGCGGGCAGTGCGGCCAGTGTCTTGTCGTGGAGAAGAAAACGTTGCCTGCATCCCTTGATCCATTAGACTTCAAGCCCGAATGCGACCTTCTATTTATAAAATCGTTGCTCCGCTCACCGCTATTCTGCTTTGAAATTGATTCTGATAGGTTTTTATGGAATTCATCATCAGATTCACCGTCCGATGAAAGGCTATATGTTCCCCCAGTCTTATACTTTTGTGTCTTTACTGGCAGCTTTTCTGTCGATGTTGCTGAACTACTGGCTGACAATTTGGTTGACTTCGCCTTCGCCTTTGATGTTAGCGGCGCAGAAGGTTCATCATCAGACGATGAACACAAGTCAATGAAAGACTTGTTACTTTTCTCCTTGGGTATCTCTCTCGGGTTCTGCGTGGGAATCTCTTTGAATTTCTCTTGACGCTCCTCACTACGATTCCCATTGCGCTTCTTATCTTCATCACTATCGTCTGTGAGATCAATAAATACGGACTGAGCTGGATAACCACGAATGCTACTGGTGGAGCGCGATGCGCTGCCCCCATTAACTCCCGACATCTTCAATCCGATTTCGCTTCAAAAATCAATTTTATCGTATATCACGGCGATATGCTACCTCTTGGACAAGCAGGTTTTGAAACTGGATATCCAACGCATGATAATAAATTGAAAATTTGTTCGAAACCGATTTCTGATTGTCTCACGAGTTGACAGGGGGAGGCCAAGAAGACCTCAAGTAACGTGATTTTGTGTAAATAATCGGGAAGTGAATGATCTTATAATGCGATAGTTCGCGAAAAGTGAAAGTGTTATGATGTGAGGTATCGGAGGTATAGTTTAATGGACCAAAATCTAGAGTTGAGATCCGAAGACCACAGATTGGAGGAGGTCTGGAGTTGATCGTGTCAACTAGATGAATCCGGAGTACGCGATTTGATACTCTCTTCGCGTCTCGATGCTGCTATGTATCCACTTTTGTAGTAACTGGCCCTGGCAGATTTTGAGTCTTGGCGTCCTATTGTCCATGAGTTGCGATATCTTGTAAGACGATGAAAAATGCTGTGGAGAAAAGTTGTCAAGATATATTTATTTGCATAAAGAAACAGTTTTCTGATTGCTGTTCCAATAAGATGAGAGGACGAGCGAACGAAGAAATCTTGAGGTATTGGTATTGCTTATTGGTGAGCAATTGCAAAAAAGACCTATGTTGTGTGATGTTGCACCAACAAATTTAATTATTACATAAGCAATGGCAGATATAAGATTGGCATCAAGTTACAAATTAAGCAGGGCAGGATAGGAAAACATCAATCCAATTTTCAACTGCATAACTAAACATCAAAGTTCTATTGACAGCTACTCTCTGTATGGGAAGTATATATGGAAAGCCTTATGTGAATCTTTGCAATCATTTTTCAACTGACTATTTGGCCTTGGTCAAACATGATCTAGTTCATCTAAATCTTATGGAAAACCTTTCTAAAGTTTTTCATGTTAGTCTTTGCTTGCTCTACACGATTCAATACAATCCATTCTCCCATCTGTCTCCCTTTCTTCCTGAGATCATTCTCACTCATGTACCTACATGAAAGCTTAACGCCAGTTTCCTACCGAATCCTGGCAATGTTTGTTGTCCACCTTGATCATTCATTGCTTGGCTGTAGAGTTGCTCAATGTGGATAGTCAGATGGGAATGCCCCCCTACTCTTCAACGAATCTCTTCGGATGTCTATTGAGAATCCGATCTTAAATGCTGAAGGCTCATCCAGTTTATCAATGCCCTTCGAAAGGAAACCCGATTAAGAAAACAAGAAATCGGGAACGTAAGAGTAGTGCTATCGGGAAAATCTAATCGTACCTTCTCGCCCTCTCACCCCCGAACCTTTGAGCTCTTGATCAATGGAAACGATCCGGTGTATCACCTGATCGGACTTATTTCTATTTGGTTGTGTTATCACTTATTAGGAGAGTAGCTTGATGGTGGTGCACATTCTCAACTTTTCACTCCCTTCAGATACTCTTCTGCCCTTGACCATCTTTAATATTGATCGGCATCTGGAGACATGTCATCACAGTGTCACGTGTACACCTCGGGTAGTGCCGAAAAGCGGAGAAACTCCCCTGCACCTGCCACATCCATTCTTTGAACTGTCAAATTCTATTTCCAAGGTTAGCTAAGAAATTACTTACTCCACAACTTGATGTATACATCAATTTATTGGGTGGAAAAAATATACCAAGTTGTTCCGTGATCTCGCGGGGGTAACCATACAACTGTCAAAGAAATCCACACCGTCCCGATCGAAGTTGTCGCCTGCCGAGGAATCTGCCAACAATTTGGTTCCTGCGGGACTTATATGTGGCTTGATTCCTGTTGGTTTATATGATTGGCAAATTGCGGTAGAACCATATTCCGGAATTTCGAAACTTTAATATGTCTACGAGATCGCCAATGTACTACCCCTCTCAGAATCCATGTTCGGGCCAGAATCGTCCGATTTCTCTTGTTCTATTGGGCAGCTTAAAGATATGCATACTTGGGATATATTACCATCCTCGGTACAAACGACCTTGAACTACCTCGTAGTGGGTCGCTTATACGAAAGCTACATATTAAGCACTTATGTAGTCATATATAACCAAAGTTGTGTATAAAAGAGCTTGATCCTAGATGTTGTTTTCTCAAGCAAGCAATCAGGTCCTTTGCTCATCTCCTACGCACCATGCTGCTGCAGTCACTATTTGCGTGGGCATTGACTTTAGGGTCATGCGTCGCCCAGAACAATACAAATGGCACATGGCCAATACACAACAATGGTCTCACTACGCAGATTGAATGGGATCATTATAGTATGATAGTCAATGGACAACGTTTCTTTTTATGGTCCGGCGAGCTCCATTATTGGCGAATTCCCGTGCCGGAACTGTGGGTTGATGTTCTACAAAAGATCAAGGCTGCTGGTTTCAATACATTTGCGATTTATACACACTGGTACTTTCATAATCCAAATTCTGAAACGCTCGACTTCGAGAATGCAGCACACGATTTCACAAAGATCTTTGATCTTGCTAAAGAATTGGGAATGGTATGGTTTAAATGATCTAATCTCGGTTCGAAAACGAAAAAGACTTGGCTAATCACATATTTAGTATGTCGTGTTTCGCCCAGGGCCTTATGTCAATGCCGAGGCCAATGCTGGAGCTTTCCCATTATGGTTGACGACCGGGGCTTATGGAGCTCTTCGAAATAATGATACTCGCTATACTGAAGCCTGGACACCTTTCTGGGAAAAGGTTGCCTCTATAGTTGCCCCATATCAACTTACCAATGGAGGAAATGTTCTCACTTATCAAATTGAGAACGAGCTGGGCTCACAATGGCGTGGAACCCCATCCAAAAAAGTCCCCAATCTATCTTCCGTTCAGTATATGGAAGCGTTGGAAGCCTCTGCACGAGCTCAAGGTATTACAATACCATTTCAAGCCAACGATCCTAATCTCAACTCAGACTCGTGGTCAAAGGATTTCTATGATGGCTATGGTTCAGTAGACATCTATGGTATGGATTCTTATCCAGCATGCTGGACTTGCAATTTGACAGAGTGCGATTCCACAAACGGAGCATACAAACCTTTCAACGTCATCGATTATTATGATCATTTCGAAGCAATCTCGCCAACCCAGCCATCATTTCTTCCAGAATTTCAAGGTGGTAGTTTCAATCCCTGGGGTGGCCCCGAAGGTGGATGTCCAGAAAACTCTCCCCCCGATTTCGCAAATCTCTTCTATCGCAATAACGTTGGACAAAGAGTGACAGCCATGAGTCTTTACATGCTTTACGGAGGAACAAACTGGGGTTGGTTAGCAGCCCCCGTCGTGGCAACTAGTTACGATTACTCGAGTCCAATCTCTGAAAACAGAATGATCAATGACAAGTATGCCGAAACCAAATTGTTCGGCCAATTCCTTCGTGTAGCCAAAGATTTGACAAAGACTGATCGAATTGGCACAAACCAAACCGCTTCTACCAACCCAAATATCGTATACTCCGAACTACGCAATCCAGATACAAATGGTGCGTTCTACGTTACGATCCACCAGGAATCTACAGTTGGCACTAGAGAGGAGTTCTACATCCACGCTAACACATCCAAAGGAGAGTTCACGATTCCTCAAAAGGCTGCACCCATTGTTTTGGATGGCTTCCAATCTAAGATTATCGTCACAGACTTCAGCTTTGGATCTCACTCGCTATTATACTCAACAGCTGAAGTTTTATCCCATTCTGTTGTAGGTGAGCAAGACATTCTAGCTCTCTGGATGCCAACTGGTGAAGCTGGCGAATTCGTTATCACTGGTGCGAAATCCGGTAAAGTTTCCAGCTGTGGAGGTTGTTCTTCCGTTGGTTTCTACCCCCAGGGGGATGATCTCCTCGTCACCATCTCTCAATCCAAAGGTATCAGTATCTTGACATTTGACGATGGACTCCGTGTTCTCGTCATGGATAGATCATACGCATATGAATTCTGGGTCCCAGTTCTCACAGCAGATCCATTCAGTCCTGCGAACGAAACTGTGTTTGTTCAAGGCCCAAGTCTAGTCCGAAGCGTTGCCTACTCCTCCGATGGTACAACTTTGGAGCTCACCGGAGACAACAATGGAACTTCGACACAGATCGAGGTTTTCCCACCCAAGGTCGTAAGCAAAGTTACATGGAACGGTCAATCCATTACGACATCCAAGACAGATTACGGTAGCTTAATCGGCAGTCTTACCGGTCCCACACTTGATTCTTTGACTTTACCAGAGATTTCTGGCTGGAAAGCAAACGACAGCTTACCTGAACGTCTATCAACATATGATGATAGCTGGTGGATCGCTGCCGATCACATGAACACTTCAAATCCAACCAAGCCAGAAACACTTCCAGTGCTCTACATCGATGATTATGGATACCATGTTGGAAATCATCTCTGGCGTGGAAGATTCGAAGGTTCAGCAAGCGGAGTATATCTCAGCGTCACTGGAGGTCGTGCTTTCGGCTACAGTGCCTGGCTGAATGGCGAGTTTATCGGCTCATATCTGGGAGCTGCTTACCCAGATACAGGAAAATTGACACTTTCCTTCAGTAATGTCACCGTCAACTCAAATTCTACCAATATCCTTCTCGTTCTTCAGGATAACTCTGGTCATGATGAGACCAGTGAGGCACTCAATCCACGAGGAATCAATAATGCAACCTTAATCAGTTCTTCTGCCAAGAATTTCACATCATGGAAAGTCACCGGTACGGCTGGTAAGCCAGACACAGCAATCGATCCTGTCCGTGGTATTCTCTCAGAGGGTGGTCTCTACGCCGAACGTCTCGGATGGCATCTTCCAGGTTTCGACGACAGTGAATGGTCCTCCGCATCCCCAGGCAACGTTTCTTCTTCAGCCGGCGTAACATTCTACCGCACCACCGTTCCTTTAGCCATTCCTACAGGTCTTGACGTGGCAATATCTTTCACACTCAACGCTTCACCCTCAAACGCAGCTCTTCGTGCCCTTCTTTTCGT